TAAAAAAAGGGGAAGAAGCTTATGTAGTGGAAATTAGTGTAGCTAATTCTAATCCACATCCCAATATTTGGTACATGGATTCTTGTGCTTCTTACCACATGACTCCACATAAAGAATTATTAGATGATTATCAGGATGCTAGTATTCATCAAATAAAAACAGGAAGTTCAGTAATAGAAGTAGAGGGTAAGGGTAAAATAACTTTCCTCTTATCTAGAAATAAAAAAAGGGAGTCTGTAACTTTTAGTAATGTTTTACACGTTCCGAAGTTAACAGCCAATTTGCTGTCCATTAAGTATTTAAATAAAGTATTTGGAATGGTTAGTACTTTTACAAGTGAAAGATGTTTTGTGTATGATGGTAAACATTTAGTTGCTACTGGAACAGGTATGGGAGATAATTTGTATTCTCTTGATTTATGTAATGAGTGGGCTTTAATTACTGATAAAAATATTTCAAATGAATTATTACACAAAAGAGTGGGCCATTTAAGTGAAGGAAGGAGGAATGACCAGAGATTAAAAGATATGGTCGAAGGTTTTACATTTAACGGAAAATTGTTAAATTGTGTGTCATGCATTAAAGGCAAAATGCATAGACAACCATTTCCCAAGGGAAAAGGAAAAGCTAAGCGTGCAAAAGAGTTATTAGGCATAGTACACAGTGACCTGTGTGGGCCTATGAATGTTACATCAATTGGTGGTTCTCGCTACTTTATTAGTTTTATTGATGATTTGTCGCGAATGACTTTGTTTATTTTTTGAAAAATAAATCTGAAGTTTTTTTAAAAATTCAAAATATTTCAAGCATTTGTTGAAAGGCAAACTGTCAAATCAATCAAAATCTTACACTCAGATAATGGTACTGAGTATGTAAACAATGAGATGGATAACTATTTAGCATCAAATGGAATTCAGCATCAAAAATCTATTCCATTTACACCAGAGCAAATGGGTGTAGCTGAACGTAGTAACAGAACTCTTGTAGAGCGAGCACGATCAATGTTGGTGGATGCTCACCTTGATCAAAATTATTGGGCTGAAGCAGTACAGACTGCAAATCACTGTAAAAATATATCTCCAACTATTGCAGTTGCAGGTATGACCCCTTATGAAAAATGGTATGGGGATAAGCCAAATTTAGAACACTTGAGAGTATTTGGATGTCGTGCATTTGCTCACGTTCCAAAATAAAAACATAAAAAGTGGGATATAAAAGCAAAGGAATTAATGCTTGTTGGGTACTGTCAGGATAGAAAAGGCTATCGATTAATAGATCCCAAAACTTATGAAATAATAAATGCACGAAATTTTGGAAAATGAAATGTATTACAAAAGACGAGTAATATGCCAAAATTCTATGATGAATCCTCATTCAGTGGGAGCGTGATTACTGACATTTTCAGATACTGAGAATGCAATAGCTGATGATCAGAACATGGTGAATTGGAAGGGATGGTTAATGATAATACTCAGTCTGATCATGAATTAGTTAATTGGCTAGTATTAAATCTGATCACGATGAACATAATACTGCTCAAAATGATAGCCATGATAACAGTAGTGTAGTTGATGAGCTACCTATGTTGACCTAGAAACAGAAAAACTTAGATTCCCAAAAAGTTATCAGGACTTTGACACACACGGGATGCCAGAAATGCCAATGCCAAATTTAGATCGTATGTGCTTTGTTAAAGCTTTAGCAGCAGCAACAAATGGTGTGTATTCTGAACCGAAAACCATTGATGAAGCATTAAAGGGGCAATGATGCAAACCATTGGAAGGATTCTATATGTGAGACTATATTAGGTCATATTAAAAAACAAAACATGGGAAAAATAACAGATAAACCTTATGATAAGAACATTGTAGATTGTAAATGGGTTTTTCAAAATTAAATGTAATTCAGTAGGCAAGATTGAAAGATATAAAACAAGTTTAGTTGCTAAGGGCTATTCTCAGATTGAGGGAATAGATTATACTGAAACATTTGCACCAGTTGTCCGATATGTAACATTAAGAGTTTTATTAGCTTATGCAGCTATATATGATTGGGAAATTGACCAAATGGATGCTGTAATGGCTTTTGTACAGGGAACTCTAAATGAAGACATTTTATATGAAAATTCCAGACGGTTTTCAGTGAATTTTACAAGCAAAACTTAAAGGGAAAGGTCCTAAAATTAAACAAAGCATTAGATGGTTTAAAGCAGAGTGGTAGACTATGGTACCAACTGTTAGAAAAGGGTTTAATAGAAATGGGGACTGAGGCAAAGTTCTTTTGATAGTTGTGTCTATATTAAAATAAATGGAAAATAAAGATCTTGTTATTGTTACTATTTATGTTGATGACTTACTCATTTTTAGTAATAACATAGAACTTAAAAATTGGGGTAGTAAAACAACAACTTAAAGAAAAATTTGAAATGAAAGACTTGGGACCAGCAAATTATTGCTTAGGAATTAAAATTGAACGAGATAGAACTAAAGGGTCCATTAGCCTTAGTCAAACTCAGTATGTAGAGAGTATGCTTTGCAAATATAATATGCATGAATCTCATGGTGTAAAAACACCATTAGACCAAAATCAAGTGTTATCTAAACTGCAGATACCAACTAGTAAGGAACAAAAGCTACCTGTTCCTTATCAGGCTGCCATTGGGAGTCTTCTTTATGCAGCTCAAGCAACACGGCCAGATATAACTTATGCTGTGAATTTCCTTAGCCAGTTCTCCAATAATCCGGCAAGGGTTCACTGGAATGCTGTCAAGCGCATCATGCGGTATCTTCGAGCCACTACAGATGCTACATTGTCTTTTTCAAAGGACTATAGTGCTGATGTCCTTGGTTACAGCGACTCAAAACTATGGAGGTGATGCTGGGGATCGACGATCAACACTGGATATGTTTTCCTCATCGGAAGTGGTGCAGTGTCATGGTGTAGTAAGCGTCAACCAACCATTGCAACTAGTACAACAGAAGCCGAATATATGGCTCTTTCTGCAGCTACTAAAGAAGCCATATGGCTCAACAAAATTCTTTTAAAGAACTTGGGATTATTACTGCAAAGCCAGTATTATTATACTGTGATAACAACAGTGCTATTAATCTCAGCAAAAATAGTGTGTATCATGGTATATCAAAGCATATTGCTATACAACATCATTTTGTGCGAGAAGCTGTGAAACTTCAGCACATTGGCATACAATACAAGACTACTAATGATATGATTGCAGACTTTTTGACAAAAAAATGTAAACAGTGCAAAACATGAAATGCGTGCAAAAATGATGAGTTTAAAATGAAGACCAATGTAATTTAATGTTTTATTATATGTATGTGTGCTGATGTAATTTTTCATTTGTATTTAATTAGGATGATATTTAAACCTAAAGTGGGAGTGTAAAAAAGATTAGCTTTAAATATGTTCTTGGCCCATAGATGGCACCACTGTTTTTAATTCTATAACTGTACACTCTAATAAAACTTCACTTGTGTTCCAAACTCCCAACAGGTATGTTGTGCATTATTTATTCTCATGCATGCAAGTAACCACTCTCTGCTATATTGAGTTTCTAATAATAACAGAGGAGAGCAAATTTTTAAAAATATGCCAAAAATAACCCACACATAACAATTCTCCAATTTTAGACAAAAGGCTTGTTGAAATGTCATCATTTCATTTTTCCCCCAACTTACAATTGTTTTTACACACAAATCAAGATATTTTTTGTCTTGCATTTGTGATAACTGCAATAATGTTCCTGCAGGAACATGTTATTTTTCCTCAAAATCTAGAACAATTGCTCTGAATCTGTTCTTAAAACAATCCGCTTGAAAAAATTTAGGAGTATGTTTACTGATAGATATTGAAGATAATTAATTAACTAAATGTAAAGTACAGTAAAATGCCGACTATCCATCATTCAATTTAGCAGAATATTTTCAAATTTAACTTTTTTCGTGTCAAATTAAATAAATAAGAGATTTGTAACTGTGTTATAAAGCCTGAATGGAACTATGATTCAACTCAAATAAAAGTTGTTATCATACAGTATGATTTAGCGAGAATAATGGATAAGCATGACATAATACTGTGACTTTATGTAAACACATTATTGACATATTAATAAATAAATATAAGGGAGTAGGATGGACGTGATATTTGACATTATTGATTAAACTGATTCATTTAATTACAAATCTCCTTGGTAAATTTAGGTAAGCAGCAAGAACTCCCAAAATTGACACCATTCTTAAGAAGCGAGTAGGAAAAGGAGCTATTATTGATCGAGCAACGTGATGGAGAAGTATATATTTGATGATATCAAGGTTGTTAGAATTAACAACTTTTTCAGAAGATTTAGATAACCCTAATGTTTCACTTACAGAAAGACTGTGGAATAATCCTGCAGAATTGGAAACTCTTCTTCCAACACTGTATATAGCTACAAAAAAGCTACAATGTGAAGAATTAACAAGAGGCAATATTAAAAGATGTAGATAACCCTAATGTTTCACTAACAGAAAGACTGTGGAATAATCCTGCAGAATTGGAAACTCTTCTTCCAACACTATATATAGCCACAAAAGAGCTACAATGTGAGAATTAACAGAAGACAATATTAGAAGATGTAGATAACCCTAATGTTTCACTAAAACAAAGATTGTGGAATGATCTTGCAGAATTGGAAACTATTCTTTCTACAGCATATATAGCCATAAAAAAGCTACAATCTGAAGAACTAACTGGAGGGGAGAAAGGAAGAATGTGCTGTTTGTTCTTTGTGAAATGGAGGATTTATTGCAGAAGGAATCACTTCTTCAATGAAGAAAAGAAAAACTAGTTTGCTAGACAATACAATCTTGCTACATGTAGATCCAAAGCGCTGAATTTTGTTGAATGACGAACAAATTAAAAAAAGCAAAGATAGCTATCTATGAACTTTCATTATAAATGAATTTATTCTCAGAACAACTGGAGTATTCAAATCAGGACAGTTAAACTGCAGACATTGCAACTGAATCTCTATCATCTTCTTCCACTGATGAATTAAGATTTTAAGAAATACTTGGATAATATTGAAAAGGCTAAGGGCAAAGCGAATGAAAATAAATAACCAAGAGTCTTTAGATATAAAAATGAAAAAATATAAACAAGATTTACACACGGCCTCTGAAGAAATAGAGAAATATGATTGCTCTTGCAAGACACCTCTTTTAGAACTTATAAAAATGTATCCTGAAAAGTTAAAGGAAGTAGTTGTAAGGGTAACTACTTCTTCTTCCTACTCAAGTCAGTGTGGAAATACTTTTCTCAGTTCTGAAGTTTATCAAATCGGATCTATGGTCCTCTAACAAAGAAGATTTTGCCAAATTTTTACTGTTTCTTAAAAATTACTAATAGCAGTTTTTCCATTTTATAATAAATGCTAATTAATTTAAAAAATTTGTTATGTATCAATTTTTTCTGTAGCATCTATTATTTCTTTTATATTAAAAAAAAATAAGCTGTAACCCATGTTTATATGTTTACATATATATGAGGGAGTCTTTAAAATTCCAGGAGTCTGAGTCAGTCATTTTCTCTACCGATTCCACAGCCCTGATACGAGGGTATCATAACATAACTATTTTGGTGACATACTGCTTTGCCTAATATTTTTTGTGACTTTTTGGTGGGGTGCAGATAATAAAGTACCGATTTTTTTAAATAAAAACTTATACATTGATAAATCAAATTATACAGCTCATACATTTTATAAATTTTGTTAGTTAAATATAAAAAGTTAATACCTTGAATTAGTTGCACATGATCACCCATATCAAATGAGATAGTTTCTCCGGGATTCACATGCAAATGCACAATATACTGGGAGTTCCTATTGTAATTCATTGAATTTGTACTACTATCTCGATGTATTTGAGGACATGGGATTGTAGTTTGAGATGAAAATATTTGATTAGAAGTTACTGCAGCTTGGTTACTATTTACTTTTGACGAACTTGGCTGAAAGCTCCTTACATTTCCACCATATGCTCTAAAAGTATTATTATATTGGCAGCATTCCAACCAAATCTGGCTGTCACTAGTAACTGTCCAATCAGGATTTAATGGCAAAGAACTATCCAGAGCAGTAAATTTAGACTCACTATGCAGTTGTTTAACACCATTCAACTGCTTATCTTCACTAGTGCTAAATGTGGAACCTTTAGATCTTGAACTGGAACTCTCAGCATGAGATTTATTGGAACTAGAAGAAACTGCTTCATCAGTCACATCACTTTCACATGATTTTTTAACATCATTTATATCAACTTTTCTTGAATCTTGTTTTTCATTTTCAACTTTTCCACAAGCTCTGCCTGCTATAGTATGCTTCAGGGTTTCCAGAGGAACAGATATGTTAGCAGAGTTTGCCATTACTGAAACAAAAATGTGAAAAAAATATATATCCACTTAGAATTGACCTGAAAATAAAAAATAAAAATTAATATATTAATAAAAGTTAGGTAAAATAAAAAAAGGTTTACTAACATATTTTAGATTTATTACATACTTTATTTATTATGATGCTTAAGAGAATTATCTGTCTATCTCAATTATTATTAATTATTATGTATTATTATCATATTACTTGTAAGAATTTTAAGATATTTGGGCAGATAAAAGGAAAGTACCACTGGTTCTTTCTTGGCCATAATTATCCCTATAAGCATCATTCACATGACCAAGTTTTCTATCTAATCCTCACTTCCTTTTTTTCCCCTGCAACTGATATCACAATGTGAAATTTCTTCAAAAGAGGCAGCTAGACTGTTTCAGGAGAAAGATGTTCTTTGCGAAAGGTAATTGCATTTGAATAACCACTGCATGAAATTCAAATGTCATTTAAAGACAAAATGCCCATGCTGGGAAGAAAAAGATTTCCGAACACAAACATGGTTGTTTGGGTCACGCATTCCTTTCTTTACTTCAAATGAATCACAACACAACAGTTGACTGGAATAACTAAATAAATGAGATATGTGCTAATTCCTTGTCATCTCATTATAAAATCCAAAATTGATAGACACAATAAAACTGTGGAAATAAATGAAAATTTATTCACAAAAAGAAAAATATAATATAAGCCATGTTCTCCCTCCATAATGAGTATTTGAAAGATTTTTCCATAAAATTTAAGAATGTTCCTTGTTGTTATTCAAAGTGACTCCTTTTTATCTAGTGCCAAGAAAAAGATAGAAAGAAAGAAGACAAAATGCACCAATAATGCAAGATATGGCTTTACCCTTTGAAGGGCACTGGTATATATTATATACCGATGCCCTTCAAAGCACATATAATATATACCGGTTGTTTGTCAATTTTTTAACCTCCGAAAAAATGTTAATTTCTCTACACCAAAGCTATAATCGTAAGTTTCTAGTGTTTCCTTTTGATTCTAAATGGCAGCACCACCCAATGAATGCTCAATATTTTGTAATTATGAAATTAATATACAGTGTCTCACAAAAGTGATGGGACACTTGTGCTTTACAAAAGGAAATTGTAGTAAAATAAATTAAGAAAACATGTAAAATTTTTTGTGGGTGTTTCATACTTAAATTAGTAACAATTATTACATAACATACATTTTCAAAATATTAAAATATTAATTATAAAAATATAATGTTAGAAGGAGCAAAAAATGGCTCACATATGTGATGAACCTTACTTTTCCATCAAATATTATCCAAAAATTTTACTTTTAAAAAGTGTTTTAATATTTTGTGGATTTTCCTTTTACTTTTAAAAGGTGATATTTATCTTCTTGGAATGTTTCAACTAATTTTTTTGTGATTTTCTGGAGTGATTTACCCCATTCTTCTTCAAGCACCGATTTTAATTGCTGTTTTGAAGAAATGGTGTGTTGCGAATCTTGATTCCATTCTTGCCAAATATTCCTATGGGATTAAGTCTGGAGATTTTGTGGTGTTTTTATTATTTCAGGATAGTTATACAGCAGCCAGAGTCTAAAGTTCAAAGCATGTCCTTGGGGTCATTGTCCTGGTAGAATTTAATATCGTTATGAAGGGTAAACTTTCGTGCTGAAGATACAAAATTTTGATTTAAAACGTCAATATACTTGTCCTGATTCATTAGACTGTCAATAAAATCAAATAAATCATTAAATCATAAATAAATGTCAATAAAAACTGTCAATAAAGATTACCAACTCCAGCAGACGACATACACTCCCATACCATAACTCCTCCACCACCATCTTTTACTGTTGGCACCAAGTTCTGTTTGCGAAACTCTTTTCTGGGTTTCTCCTGGGTTTACACCAAGATTCTACCGTCAAGAACCAAATACAGTCAAAAGTCGTTAATTCGGACACCCATAATTCGGAATGATCTATAATCCGGACATCAAAACTAAAAACTTTCTGCGCATGCGCGCGTTGACCATGCGCAGAGGCGTTCACGCGTGCGCGTAAGACCTTTACGACTGCGCATATGAGTGTGCGCAAGTGCAGAATACATATTTCGCGTGCACATTTTATGTATAATGGACGTTTATAAGCTAAATAATTATCTATTTCAGTTAATGTTGATGATTGCGTTGTTCCTTAATTTTCGAATTGGCATCCGGCTTATTATTTTTTGCAGACTGTAAGAGCAATTTTATAAAAGTAAGCTTAAACTTTCGATTATATCAAATAGAATTTCCGATATATATTTGTTAATATGTAAAGGATCTAAAGCGAAAGTATGTTTTGAAATCCGAAATCTGTTTATCAATTTCACGCTGCTCGGCGGCGGGGCGCGTAATGAATTGGAAGTTGATTTGTCAGCACTATCCTTATCTTCAGCGCAGATGTTTTTATTTATTTGGCTTATAATTCCTTACCAAATGTAGTATTTCATCTCGATATGCTTCCGTCTTTGATATGATTTAAAACAAGTTCCTCGTCATTATAATTCGCTTCCCATAGCGAAGAAAGTGACAGAGGTTATTGAAAACAAAAAAAATTTCGATTGACAAATTAGTCGGTGTTCTTGACACAGCAATTATAGGACTTGAACGGCGGAACTTTGTAACTGAACAAGAAATTATGTCTGTTTAATAGAATTAAAGAGAAAGTATTATCACATGAAACGAAGCAAAACTTAAACAACTTACATTGAAAGAAATGTTTAATAAAGTAAAACAAATAAATATTAAGCTTTTTCTTTTTGCAAATTTTGATACCCTTTAGATCATAATTGTTCTTTATTTCATAAATTACGGTTTCATATTTTTAATTTTAGAATTTCTGCATGCCATCTTACGAGATTTAAACTGATGATCTATAATCCGGAAAAATCGATAATCCGGAATCGCCGAAGTCCCGACGAGTCCGGATTAACGACTTTTGACTGTATATTAAATTTACTCTCATCAGCAAATATAACTTCATTCCAGTAATCAGAATTCTTATTTATGTTGGATTTTGCGAAAGCCAGTCTGAGTTTTCTATTCTTTTCACTTACGAAGAATTTTTTCCCGGCTGCTCTACTGTGATATCAGCAGATCGAATTACTTTTCTAATAGTCTCAGGATTAACAATTACTCCATATAATGCTTCTAAATCAGCAGCAACTTTAGGAGCACTCATTCTTGGATTTTTTTTTTAATATTTCGAACGATAATTTCGACAATATTTTCCATTGGATAGCTTTGATGGTTGGCCAGGTCTTCTTTTATCCTGAATCATATGAGTCTTTTTATATCGTTTAATGATCTTGAAAACTGTTGAATGACTCAAGTTAACTGTTTCAGCAGTTTTCCTTATAGATTTTCCATGTTTAATATGCAAATTAATAACTAATTTTTGAACTTCAGGCAAAGTTTCTTTTCGTTTAGCATTCATGGCTGCACAGAGCTAAAAAACACAAAAATTCCAAAACAAACTGGAGAGAAATACTGCAGACGATTTTATAAATTATTGCCAATTGCTTTGAGTAAAAAAATAAAAACCAAAAAAAATATTTTTATTGTAGTACCTAGTAGTATCTAATGGTGTCCCATCACTTATGTGAGCCATTTTGCTCCGTTCTAAACAATTGTATTTTTTATTAAATTAATATTTTAATATTTTGAGAAAATGTATGTTATGTAATAATTGTTACTAATTTAAGTACGAAACACACCCACAAAAAATGTTTACATGTTTTTTTAATTTATTTTATTACAGTTTCCTTTTGTAAAGCACAAGTGTCCCATCACTTTTGTGAGACACTGTACATTGTTCCAAGGTATCATGTTTGAAAATTGATAAATTCTATTGAAGGGAAAGAAAAAAATTTAAATCTGTAAATGTATGATGTACACATGCTGAACCTTTTAAATTTACTGCATTTCAATCAAAACTAATAATTAAAAGAAGATCATGTTTACGTTTTTAATACCAGTTACCGGCTTCCCTACTGAGGGTACCTCGCCAATAGATGGCAGCACCAGGCTTCTCCTTCTCTACTCTGTGAAATGACAACATTTCTTTACATTATAATAGCTTATGATGTAATATTTTTTTTATGATTAACTTACAAGTTATTTAAGATTCAGTGAATGGGGAGTTCATTGATCCTGCACTAGGACTGAATACAAGTATATTTGTTTCTTTTTATTCTATTTTTACTTCGCTCGAGTTTCATTTGTCTCTATTTAATTACAATTTTAACTTCAGGACTTCATCCTTTCCCAAGAGAAAGACTCATCAATTTCAAAATTGCCGTCTGGGGTCAAAATTTTACACACTTGTTGTGGTTAAATGTGGCATGCTAGCCCTCAAAAGAGACCCGTTGCTTCGTATTTTCCAAAAATTCCAAATCCAACAAAAATCAAAGGAGGTGATTGGCAACTGATTTGTCATTTCGGAGTGACACCTTCTTCTCTTTGTGTGATGTGATAAGATCACACAAAGAGAAAAAAGCTCACTTAAAAATACGGGAAATGGAAGTGCACTTAAGGACCATCTCTTAGTGTAATCACAAAAATTGCTGATTTGAAAGCATGCTTTTATTCTTATTGTCTTTGTAAATTTCAGATGAAAGACTAGGGAATGCAAGAGAAGTTTAGGTTTAGGCTACAAATAGGTTGTTTTTTAAATAAATTTCACAGTTGATGAAATAAGGGAAAATATTTCTAAGGACCGTTTGAGATGCAAACTAGAATTTATCCAAAAGTTGAAAAGGAGCCTCTACGAAGCCAAAGGAGTTGAAAATCGAAATAAGAGCTTTGAGGTGTATATAATAATAAAGTTGTTTAACGGCGTTTCTTCCTGAACAAAAAGATATATTACAACTTATATTTACAAAAGATAAAAAAGGGGCCCTTATGGTCCTCGATAATCTAAAGTGTGTGTGCGTGGGGGGCGATTCTTCGTATCATAGCATGA